TTACTGTGTCCTAGCTTCTTGTTTTGTTTTGATATGCCCAAATAGGCTGCTCGTATGAGCTAGTTTGATTATTGGCAACTTTGAAACTCTAATGTCCTGTCACCAGGTGGTTAGATCTGTTACTAGGTATGTGAGCTCAGGAGTCTGCCCACTCCTCCTGTATGGATTCAGCTCAGGTTCCCAGGTAGATAGCCACCAGTTGTGTGGTGTAAGCTCTCACTTACACTCCTAGACAGTCATGGGTGATTGGTATAGGCACAGGCATCTGACTGTAGCAGGGGGACACACTCTGAGCATGGCAGGGGGCTGACGGCCGCCCCCGAGTGTCCAGGAGGACGGCCCATCTCTGTTCCCTAGAGTGCGTAGGTGGATGGGTTTTGCAGCCGGGCTATGACCACCTAATGCTGCTGGCTGTAAGGACTGGGGGGCACCTCTTGTTCTTGGGCCCCTATCACAGGTGGCTAGGTGGCGTGGGTGGAGCCACCAGTCCTCAGGCCCTTGATGTGGGTAGGTGAAGACCCTGCTTAATGGGCAGAGCAGTGTCAAATGTCAAGAACCTGCTACTTTACCGCTGAAACAGTTGAAGTTAGATTTCCAGTATAGACCCTGTTGTACTGTGCTAATGGGGACCTATGCTGTTGAGATGGGTCCACACAAGTCTATTCCAGGGGAAAGGCACTCAGAGTCCGTGGATCCCTTATGCTTGTGCCTAGGCAAAGGAGCTGTGCCTACCCTGGATTCCTGGCTTAGGGGAGCTGGCAGTTTATTATTTTCCCTGTTTGTTAATTTGTTCACTCTCCAAGGCAGGGAGAATGGCTCCCGGCGTGTGACGGATCCTACTTCCAGCCCAGGGGACTTGGCAGTTGCTGAAGCCGGTCTGGGACCCAGTGAAGAGCAGGGAGCGGGGAGGTAAATGGGAAAGAGGTTTTTCCCTAAGGGGGGTGTTTTTGATCCATGCGGTAGGCCGGACGCAATTACTTATCTTTCGCCAGATCGAGGGCTGCTTCTCAATGGTTCGGGGTGGCCATGTAGACTCTCAGCGGCTGGGTCTCTCCCAGTGTGGAAAACGTGCCTCCTGAGCACAGCTGCTTGCCTGCTTCTCTGCTCACCCCCAAGCTGCTCAGGCCTGAAAGTGCTCAGGCTCTCGCTGGGTCTGATCTGGCAACTCCTTGCTGCTTCCGAACAGTCTCTTCCTCCCCCTGCCACTCAGTCTGGTTCCTCAACTCTGCGTTTGATGTTCAGGGCTCCCAGATTGCCATATATAATCGAATCACTTGTTTTTTCGGGTGTTTGTTTTAAGAGGGTCCAGCAGAAGCGCCTGACTACTCTGCCATCTTGGCCCCGCCTCCGTGTCTTTTGATTTTTTGACTGCTGCTTCCATGAGTGTTGATTTGGATCCAAGTAAAACGAAATCCTTGACAACTTTAGTGTTTTCTCCATTTATGATGATGTTGCTTATTGGTCCAGTTGTGAGAGTTTTTATTTTCTTTATGTTGCAGTGTAATCCATACTGAAGGCTTAAGTCTTTGATCTTCATCAGTAAGTGCTTCAAGTCCTAACATGATAGAGGTTGGATTTACAACACATAGGAAAATCACATCAGTTTACAAAATGGTGGACAATCACACAATACTGGGAATCATGGCCTAGCCAAATTGATACACAGTTTTTGGGGACACAATTCAATCCATAACAGTCTATGTGCAGGTTTCTCATGAGCACAATTAAGTGTTCTGGAATGCCCATTCTTTGCAATGTTATCCATAATTTGTTATGATCCACGCAGTCAAATGCCTTTGTATGTTCAATAAAACACAGGTAAATATCTTTCTGGTATTCTGTGCTTTCAGCCAAGATCCATCTGGTATCAGCAATGATATCCCTCGTTCTACATCCTCTTCTGAATCTGACTTGAATTTCTGGCAGTTTCTTGTTGATGTACTACTGCAACCGTTTTTGAATTATCTTCAGCAAAATTTTACTCACGTGTGATACTAATGATTTTGTTTGATAATTTCCGCATTCTGTTGGATCACCTTTATTTGGAATGGGTACGTATGTGGATCTCTTCCAGTTGGTTGGCACGGTAGCTATCTTCCAAGTTTCTTGGCACAGACGAGTGAGTGCTCAATTGATATTTCATCAATTCCTGGAGCCTTGTTTTTCACCAATGCCTTCAGTGCAGCTTGAACTTCTTCCTTCAGTACCATTGGTTCTTAACTTTATGCTGCCTCCTGAAATGGCAGAACGTCGACCAATTCTTTTTGATACTGTAACTCTATGTATTCCTTCAATCTTCTTTTGATGCTTTCTGTGTTGTTTGGTATTTTTCCCATAGAATCCCTCAGTATTGCAACTTGAGGCTTTAATTTTTCCTTCAGTTCTTTCAGCTTGAGAAATGCTGAGCATGTTCTTCTCTTTTGGTTTTTAACTCCAGATTTTTGCACATTTCATTGTAATACTTTACTTTGTTTCTCGAGCTGCCTTTGAAATCTTCTGTTCAGCTCTTTTATTTCATCATTTCTTCTGTTCGCTTTAGCTATTCTATTTTCAAGAGCAAGTTTCAGAGTCTCTTTTGACATCCCTTTTGATCTTTTCTTTCTTTCCTGTCTTTTTAATGACCTTTTGCTTTCTTCATGTATGATGTCCTTGATGTTATCCCACAACTCCTCTGGTCTTCAATCATTAAGAGTTCAATGCCTCAAATCTACTCTTGAGATGGTCTCTAAATTCGGATGGGATATACTCAAGGCTGTACTTTGTCTCTCGTGGACTTTTTAAAATTTTCTTCAGCCTCAACTTGAACTTGCTTATGAGCAGTTGATGGTCTGTTTCACTGTCGGCCCCTAGCATTGTTCTGACTGATGATATTGAGCTTTTCTACCGCCTCTTTTCACAGATGTAGTCAATTTGATTCCTGTTTTCCATCCAGTGAGATCCGTCTCCTTCCACAGATGTAGTCGATTTGATTCCTGTGTATTCCATCTGGTGAGGTACACATGTATAGTCACCATTTATGTTCAAAAAAAGTATTTCCAATGAATAGGTCATTGGTCTTGCAAAATTTTATCATGTGATCTCCAGCGTTGTTTCTGTTACCAGGGCCATGTTTTCCAGCTGCTGATCCTTCTTCTTTGTTTCTAACTTTCACATTTCAATCACCAGTAATTATCAATGCATTTTGATTTCATGTTTGATCAATTTCAGACTACAGAAGTTGGTAAAAATCTTCAGTTTCCTCATCTTTGCCATTCTTGGTTGGTACATAAATTTGAATATAGTCATATTAACTAGTCTTCCTTGTAGACGTATGGATATTATCCTGTTTCAGCATTGTACTTGTGCAGTGTTGTACTTGTACAGCATTGTACTTCAGGATAGATCTTGAAATGTTCTTTTTGACAATGAATGTGATACTGTTCCTCTTCAGTTTGTCATTCCCAGAATAGTAGACCATATGATTGTCTAATTGAAAATGGCCAATATCAGTCCATTTCAGCTCACTAATGCCTAGGATATATATCTGTCTTTGAGTGTTCATTTCATTTTTGACAACTTCCAATTTTCCTAGTTTCATACTTCGTACATTCCACGTTCCAATTATTAATAACTAAACTTTGTGATTTCTGACTTTCCAAGGCAATGATGAATCAATATATTGTTCTTTGTTTGCAAAGATGAAGTTTCTTTTTTTCTTCTAAACAGTATTTATTAGGTTTTATAAATACAGGGAGCCCTGGTGGCGTAGTGGTTAAGAGTTTGGCTGCTAACTGGCTGCTAACCAAAAGATTGGCAGTTATAATCCACCAGCCACTCTTTGGAAACCCTATGGGGTGGTTCTCCTGTGTCGTATAGGATCACTGTGAGTTGGAATTGACTCGACAGCAATGGGTTTTTTTTTTTTTTTTTAACAAATACAGAGAAGTATATAAAGAAGAAAACAAAAACAACCCATAATTACACCACTCCGGCAACCCCTATTGACACTAAAAAAAAGAAAGGTAATACAAGTTAATGGTTAGAAAATTGAAATAATACAGCAAGGTTCAAAAGGAGAAGTGAAATTCTTCTTCCTCAGAGTACCCCAATCTCAATGCCAAAGATAAATAATGTTAACCATTTTTTATTGTGTTTCCTTTACAGGCAATACTTTTATGCACAATAGCATCATTTAAGTAATTTCTCTCTATATATTTTTAAGTTAATTTACACAAAAAGAATCATGTGACACAGTTCTGCATCTTTATTTTTTTCTCTTAATATTAGAAGGTTATACCTAAGTCCTCTCGTGTTTAAAGACATTCATGTTCGAGATATCTGGGCAGGATTTGGAGTTCAGTATGTGGCAATTGTACAGAATTTTGTCTTTGTGATGCTAACTAGAGATTATAACTGGAGATTCATTTGCACCATTCTAGGGTTAATCGGGAAACCCTGGTGTTGTAGTGGTTAAGAGTTTGGCTGCTAACCAAAAGGTCAGCAGTTCAAATCCACCAGGCACTCCTTGGAAACCCTATAGGGCAGTTCTACTCTCTCCTATAGGGTCGCTATGAGTTGGAATCGACTTGATGGCAACGAGTTTGGTTTTTTTTCAGTTTAGGGTCAGTCCTTCCCTCACTCTACCTTTTGAGCACACATGTACAATGACACGACTGAATGATTCTAATGGTGTTAAAATGGATGGGTTTGCATGAATGGGATTTTCCCTTCAGGATAAGAATGAAACATTTACTGCTTCGCCTCTATGTAGTTCACAACCATTAACAAGAAACTTAGCTACTTTTGAATGAGCGACATAAACTAGGAAAAGAGAGCACCATATACTCTGCCTTTTTTTCCTTGGGAAGTTACTAATTGTGTACACAATGCTAGCATTATGAAAAATAATAGGTTTCACTGAAATACTAGTCTGTCCCACGTAAGTCTTCATTATCCCAAGCCTTGGAGGCTTAAGAGTTCATTGGGATGATGTCAACTTTAATCTTTCTACTTCTCTTCAGCTGATGGACGTCGTGCAGTTGTTCAGGTAGAAGATGTCTCACTAACTGCTAAGCTGGTTGATTTGCCTTGTGTTATTGGAAGCCTGAAAACTCTTGATAAAAAAACCTTTTATAAAACAGCAGATATTTCCCAGGTATGGACTAGTTTTCTTAATCTACTAGCTCTCACATCCTTCAAGGAATTTCTTTCTCCCTCCCATCTCTTTCCTTCATTGCTCCTTTCCATTTGGTAAGTGGCTGCTTGCCATTGCTAATTTCCAGATTGATTGCACAGGAATAAAATGTCGTGTTCTGGTTTGGTGTTTGATCCTTAATTTTTCACTACTTTATTTTATCCAAATAGCTTGTAGAGTCCCGTTTGCTGTTCCTAGGGACTTTCATTAATTGAAAAATATGACCAGCCAGGATCTTCTTCTGAACTTTTCTGCTAAAACAGTACGCTGTTAACCTTGGAGGTTACAGTTGGTTCTTACTCATCACCTCTGCTGTTGATTTCTTGTTTCCTCTCTAAATCAAACTGCCAAGATATATCTGTTTTCAACATATTCCTTCTGCAGTGCTAAGCACTCTAGCTAAAAAAAAAAAAAAAAAAAACTTCTAAGTCCATATACAGTGCTGGCTCACCAAAAGGGGGTGGGGAGGGAGAGAGAGAGACTGTGTGTGTATGTGTGTGTGTAAAATACTTGGTTTCCTGGAAATGCCAAATATCATTCTCTTTACTACTATGCCCCAGGATTTCTGGTGGTAGGAATGAGCATGATTCATTACTAATTCAAGATTTGGACCCATAGTCAACTTCTTTGTCTGTGTCAATGTAGATGCTCGTGTGCACTGCTGATGGTGATGGTGATCTCCACTCTTCTCCAGAAGAATCAGTGACTCCTACTGATGTTAAAGGAATCGAGAAAAATGATGGGAAGAAACAGAAAAAATATACCTGGAAACATGGCAGTAAGTCACCAACCCCTTGGTCATTCTCGCTGACTATGGTTATCTGCTGAATCCTGAATACTTGTGAACCAGGGACCTGTCACCACACTTAGACATTTGGTTCATTAGGCTCCCAGACACTCTTACAGGAAAGAGTCATGTCTTGAGTTGGTGGCTTTCAGCATGAACTTTCTCTATCAAATTCAGATAGATATGTGGCTACCATCAGTCATGTATACGTTTCACCATGTTGTATTTGTTTTAGTTACTCCACCACTTAAGAATGTCAGGAAGAGAAGGTTCCGGAAAACAACAAAAAAGGTTAGTTGCATAGTATTTGTATATCTGCTGGGTGGATTGGAAGAAGACTATGAGCGGGATGGAAAGGGAGTAAGTCAGTTGGGGACTAATTTGTTCATTCATTCATATGTTCAATGAACATTTATGGAGAATTAACTAAATGCCAGGTACTGTGTACTAGCATTTGGGAATATAGCTAGTGAACAAAAACAGACCTGATCCTTGAGGTGATAGGCTAGGCATTCAGGGAGCTGGAAGTGTCATAAATTTGAAATGTCTGCTAGTGCTTTTAGTTTTCAGTTGCAAGATCTAGTTTTAAAGCAAACCCATCCAGAACCTGAGAATTAAGAGTTGTGCTTTATATTCCTTACGTTACCTCAGACTTGTAGAACCTTGGGCTTGGGCAAGCTACAGGGGTACTGTGGCTTGGCTTTTTCCTTTTTTTTTTTTTAATTAAACTTTTTTATTTTGAGATAATTGCATGCAGATTCACATGCAGTTGTAAGAAATAATAGAGACATCCTGTATACCCTTTACCCAGTTTTTCCAATGGGTTTGGTTTGGTTATAGTCTTTTATCAGATATATGGTTTGTAGATATTCTCTCTCAGTCTGTATCTTGTCTTTTCATCCTCTTCAGAGTCTTTTGAAGAGCATATTTTAAAAATTTTGCTGTCAAGTCTAAGAACTCTTTGCCTAGCCTTAGATCTTGAAGATTTTATGCTAATTTTTTCTAAAAGTTTTATAATTTTATGTTTTACATTTGCGTTTGTGATCCATTTTGAGTTAATTTTTGTATAATATGTGAGGTTCATTTTTTTTTTGCCTAGAATGTCCAGTTGCTCCAGCACCATTTTTTGAAAAGGTGATCTTTTCTCCATTGTATTGCTGTTGCACATTTGTCAAAAATCAGTTTGACATATTTGTGTGGGCCTAGTTCTGGGTTCTATATTCTGTTTCATTGGTCAATATGTCAAGCCCTCCACCAATACCACACTGTATCTATATAATAAGTCTTGAAATCAGGTAGATTCATTTCTCTCACTTTATTTTTCTTTGTCAAGATTGTTTTAGCTATTCTAAGGCCTGTGTTTTTCTGTATAAATTTTAGAATAAACTTGTGTTTGTCTATCAAAAAACTTGCTGGAATTTTTATAGAAATTGTATTAAATGTATAGATCATTTTGGGGAGAATTGAGATTGTTATTGTTGAGTCTTCCAATCCATGAATATGGTTGCCTTGACTTTTATATTGTCAGTCAACAGCATTTATTGAGTGCCTACTAAGTGTAAAACTGAGATAAGAATAATTGTAGAGCTCTTTAAGCTTTACTGAGGTAGAATAATCATAACATAACATCATTGTTTATTGTGTTTTATTTCATAGCAAAGTGATATCAAACAAATGGAAGAAATCAGTTTTACTGAGGTACAGCAATCATAATATCACTTTATTGTTTACCCTTAGTGTGTTTTATTTCATAATTCATTGGTTTCAAAGAAATCACAAAGGTTATTTTCAAGCCTTCCTCTTCACCTATTACCCCCTCCCATATGCACATATGTAGAATTTGATTCACTGAAAAATGATTTTGTTGTTTAGTGTCTGATAACTCCAAGGGGAAAAGATACAGTTTGGCGAGCGACCCTGTGTATTTTCATCTGCTTTTTTTTTTCCTGATATTTATTTAAAAAGCCATTTCTTAGAAGCCAGGGTTAACTTTTCCCAGCAGTTGTTTGCTATTGCTTATTCTCCCTCAAAGTCTTAATTTCTATTCATGGCATGACGAATTGGTTGCTGTGGAGATAATTTTCTAAAACTGGATTCAAGGAAGAACACGAAGCTAAGATCCAGTTTTTGTAGGAACATCTCTAATAATAAAGATGCGGGGAGGTGAAATCTGGGAATTTGGGTCTTTAAATCACTTCTAAATAACTAATAAGTAATTATAGTTCTTTGTCAGTATGAGTCAGGGCAAATAATTAATAACTGAGGCTTAAGGTTTGTGCCTCTGAGAAGGGTCTTTACTTTAGAGTTGCAGATTGAAAAGATTAAATCTTTCAAGCAGTTTGTTTGCTTGGAAAAAAATAAGCTTAATGTCCAAAAATTCAGACCCTGATCAAAGATTCCTTTACAAGTAGTTCTAATTAAAGTAGAAATTTGGTTGGATGGGTATCTAAAGAGGCCTAATAGTTTGAATTCATTTGTATGTAGGAAAAGGTGCACTTCTACAGAATACAGAGTGTTAAATGATATTACTGGTGTTTTCCCCCACTTTGGTTTAGTACATTGAATCTCCAGATGTGGAAAAGGAAGTGAAGAGACTGCTGTGTTCAGATGCTGAAGCTGTCAGTGCCCGTATCCTTTTATACCAGACATTTTCTGTGCACTCTGTTCCAGCCCATATGCACTTGATGACAAGCCCTCACTTCTGGTATTTGCATGCCATTTTGATGTATAGAACTTAAAATTTTTACAAGTGTTACTTGCTAGCTAGGAACAGTAAATTCATATGCTGAAAATTTATTTAGTTGTGTAATTCAACGTAAGGCATTTCTCCAAACCAGGAATCCAGGCCTCAAGTTGCACTAAACTGCCTCTTCCCTTTCAGCCGTGCCTTCTCCTTTCCTTCTGCTTTTTCTTTAACTCCCCCTCCTTTCAGGATGGGAAGTCACTGCTGAAGGTGAAACCAAGGAAATAGAAAGCCAAGGCTCCATTCCAGGCTTTGAATTTTCCTCAGGAATGACTGGCCACAAGTGGGGTCGTTTCTCATCAGGTATGTTAGTAAAGGTAAAGCAGGAGCTTCAGAGAGGGCATGTGTTGACTATGTATAAAATCGTTCTCCATGGACTCACGGGCCAATCACAGAAAAAGAATGTCTTTGTTTTTCTTCCCTCAGTGCTTGGGGGGTTTTCAAATGGTGTTCTAATCTCCCATCCATCCCTGGTATTCTAACCTCTGGTGGGCCCTTGGGTTCTGTAAATGTCTTGATCATTAAATACATGCAAAGAATGTTGCAGTGTTTCATATTCCTTGCCCTTGTTTTGTGAAGGGAATAATCTTTCTGTAAGAAAAATGATTTATAAACTTCACTGGCTGCCCAGTGACTTTGAGGGTAAAGAATATAATTATAGCTGGAGTGGGGAGTATTTCAAAAGCTTCAGATAGTTTCACCTTCTTCTTGTTTAAAACCAATAGAATACGATGTTCTCCGGGAGTTATTCCCTGATTCTAGCAGTAACAGTGATGACGAGGAGGAGGAGGAGGAGGAGGAAAAGGAGGAGGAGGAATCTGAAGAGTATGAGAATAATGAGGAGGAAGAGGAGAAGGACGACAGTGAGGATGAGGATGAGGAAGAAGAGGAGGGAGAGGAGGAGGAGGAGGAAGAGGCTGAGGAGGGCAAGCCTAAGGATGAAGATGAAGATGATTCTGAAGAGAATCTGAAAACTTGGCTACAGGCCAAATTCACTGAACTAGGCCAGTATGAGGCAAAGGAAGCAAAAAGTTCAATAGGTAAGTCAGAGGAAAAAACAAAGGGGTGGGGCAGGGTGGGTGGCAGTGTTAAAGGTTAACTCTAAACACACATTAGATGCAGGGTGAAGCTTGAGAAGTTATTGCTCAGATGCGTGGTGGAGTTTTCGTGGATTTGGGTCTAGGTCTACTATTTTAGGCACTATTTAGATACAGTAAGTTTCTGTCTCCATTAGTCATGGAAATTCAGAAGCAGATTTATGATACAGAGAAGACGCTCAAACAGACTCGGGGCAGAATAAAAAGACAAGAGGATATTATCAGGAGAGTGGAACACTCAACACTCAAGGTAAGTTCTTGTTGGCTGATTCAAAGAAATTCTGATATCTTACTTTCAAAATCCCATGTTTTGTTTCCACTCATGTCATCTCTATGCAGCATCTTGTTCATACATGAACCTCAACAACCTCTTAGAGACTCATAATAAAAGATAGTCTTGTTTCCTTTTACCTGAGTACTTTTAATCATCTTACATAAGCATTTTTAGGAAGGCATCAGGTGACTTTAGATAATAATAGCCAATATTTATTGAGAATTTACTATGTGATAGACAAATAAAGAGCTAAGTATTTTACATATATTATTTTATCCTCACATCCCTGAAATGTAGGTACTCTTACTACTTCTATTTTATAGATAAAAGAAATGGAAACTCAAAGAGGTTAAGTAGCTTGCGAAGGACCATAGTAACTGGTAGAGCATAGATTGAATCCTGTTGTTTGTACCAAAATGTATTCAATTGCAGTGAAAGAGAATAAGCTAAATTCATTTTTAAATTTTGTAATGCATGCTTGAACAAGAGTAAATAACTTGCTTTATTTTTATTAATACGTGTTTAAAAGCGTCAGCTAAAGGAAAATGTGTGCTTAGGCCATGTTTGCTTCACTTTTCATAGTGAGGGAAATTCTGAAGCATCTGGCGAATTCCTTGCCAGAGTTCATTTTCTGTAGATCTGTAGTCATGGAAGGGGACCAGCTTGACACAGAACTATACGTATTTAAGGTGTTGTCCTTTAGAGTAACCAAGTGAGATAATAGATGTAGACATACTTTGAAAGATATATGGTATTATTATGATCATTTTCGTTGCATGTAGTGCTAGTTAGGAATAGTAATATTCTGCCCTAGTGAGGGGAAATGGAGGCGCCAGCACCAAATTCTAAGCTGACTCTTGTAATAGGTCACCACAGCCAAAGGATTTGTGCTAAACTAAACCATTTACTTTAGGGCAAGAAAAAAAACGCATTGTAGGGTGTATAAAATCAAATAGGATGGAGCTATAGTTAGGGGGTATAGTTTTTATACTCCAAATCTTTTTTAAAAAAGAGTGCTCTTTTGTTATGACTGACCGTTTTCCTACTTAGCAAATTATTTGCCAAGCTCTTTGTCTCTTTTTTTAAAAAAAAAACCTCAGTATTCATCATTTATACGATTTGTTTTCCAGACTCATTTACAGTTTGTGCTGGAACAGCTTAAATTACAGGAAAACCAAAAAAGTGAGCAGGTGAGAAGTGTGTTTTCAAATCAGCTAAAAACATTTGATACAAAGAACCCTCCCACCCTACCTCCAATTTCATTTCTGGCTGTTCCTGTTACTGAATTGGGCAGGAATAGTAGTGGCCAAATCTTCTAAACAAGGGTAGCAGGATGGAACAAGGCCTTTGTGAAAACTTAACTCATTCAATAAATACTAAGTGCCTATTCCAGCAGCCTTATCTCCTAATTCTTAGAATATGGCTACAGTGAGCTATATGTCCTTTGCCCTTGCAGTGAGCTGAATTCTCGGTACACTCTTCCCAGAAGCACAGATTCCTCACGAGCATATCCAATTTTAAAGCATCCTTTTGTAGGTTTGGCATCATTACTACAGTAGCGTGCATGCATTTTTGACAGTGGCACTGTTCTTTGGAGCATTGTAAGACTGAGACCTTATAAATGCCAAGCAACAGTTTTTCTTTTTGTTTCATATAAGTAAATTCTATATCAAGTAACGGAACTCAGGATTGCATGTGAATTTTTCGTGTTTTTCTGCCTCTCCCTACAGCTCATTTCCCTACAGAAACAATTGAAATATGTTCTGGAGAAATGAGAAGGACCTTCAACCTGGCATACAAGCCTTGGATTCACCATCCAGACTGAATACTGAATGAAACTGTATATGTATCTGTTCCTTAAGTTGCCTTATGTTGAATCAATTGTGTTTGTTTCTCTGAGCCTTTTAGCTAGTTATAATATATTCAAAGTTTGTAGTCACATAGAAAGGGACAGAGTATAAAAATATAGTAGACTTAAAGTCCCAACTCAACCATGGGACCTTGGTTCTCTTTATCAATTTGAGAATAACTTCTGTTACTTTTGTTCTGTCACACCAGCAGAAGATTCAGCCATGTTTGGCCAAGGCAGAGAGTCTAGCTTGGAAGCTAGTTTGCATATGTTTTAGCTTTTCCGTCTCCTATCTGTTTTAAGTATTTTCTCCAACATAGAAAAAAGCAAGTCATTTCTACTAAGAGCTAGGACCTGCCACAGTGAATTTAAGTGCCTACCTCGCAGCAGTTAGTACTAGGTTGTGTCATGTCTCTATTCACATAATAGGGGCTGCTTTCCTGCTCAGGGTGATTTCTTGCTGCTGCTATCTTTGTTCTATTGTTGTGTTTTTGTGATTGTGGCTGATTGTTATTAGCCAGCTAAGGGAGCAGTGAGGCAGAGCAGAGATGAAGAAACTTTGAGCTGGCATCCTTATTCTGAGCCTTCATTCACATCCTAACCTCCATCAGAAAAGGGTAGGGAAAACCAGATGGCCTGTGATGCCTGTGAACAACCGTGGTTGGTTTTTTAAAAGCTGTATTACTAAGATGTTCTGAACTATATTCTTTAAGCAATAAATCAGTTCTTTGTTTTAAATGGATTGATGTCACTTCATTAACTACCCTCATGAAGAGAGTACTCATATCTAAAAGGAAACTCATGAGACAAACTCTACAATTAGGAAATGACAGTAAGCTGCTGTCAGTACTGGGGCATCCTTCTAAAGAGTTCTTATGTAACTCCTCATGAACCAAGCAAACAATCTCATATTAACCCCATAGTATTGGATTTGGAGAGAGAGGGTATAGAGAAGAGATAAAAATGGCATCTCGGATATTTAGATTGAATTATCATCCTGTAGTGGAATGAACACAAGGTTGAAATCACAGCTCTGCCACTCTTCTTGGGAAAGTTCCTACACCTTTTAGAGCTTCTAGTTCCTCTTCTGTAAATCAAGGATGATAATGCCTACCACCAAGAGGGATCGAGGGTTTTCTGAAAGTAACCCAGCTACATCCAATTCTGGTCACAACTGATGAAGTCGGTGCTGCTCTAGGAAGTGTACTCCCTAGTTACCTGTGCTGCTTTTAGTCCTCCTAGTTCACGTCAAATTTAAAAGCCAAGGGCAGAGAAGAGGAGGTCAGTGTGTGTGGGCAAGGCCTGTTGAGGCAGTATGAAGACGAAGGCATGCTGGGGGGAAAATGCAGGGAACGGAGACTAAGGGAGATAGGCATGGTAAGAGCAAACAAAATGAATCCAAGATTAGGAGAGAAGTCAAACGACAGCTTGAAAACTAAGATGGTAGAAAAATAATTTTTTTTTCAGAAACCAAGAATGGAAAAGATAAGAATAAGGAGAAATGAGGGAAAGGAATTGCGTGCCAGAGACAGAACATGGGGGTAGAAGCTGAGTTTGAAAAGAAGATAGGCTTTTCCAGGCGAAGGAAGAGAGGGAACTAGAGCAGAAACCTGGGTACATGGCTGGAGAGACTAAGGCCAGTGAGAGTGGCACATGTACAACAGGTGCCATCCAGGCATGAGCAAGGTAGACGAGCCCGAGTCCAGGCCCTGCCCGATACTGCAGCCCAGAAGCAGCCAGGGCTCTGCTGAGAGGTGGGGTGGTGGGGGAGACAATAGCATGGGGTAAGGGAAAACTAGCTTGTCTGCAGTGCCCTTCCATTCTCTTTGCTACCGCTTCTCATGGTAACCCAGGGTAACTGCTTCATCACTGCCCTCCAGTAACCTAAGGCTTTTTGCTGCTGTGTCTTCCCACCCCACCTCCAACACACGCACACACACTGACACCTCATGAAGTTTTCCTTTCCTGTATAGCTCAGTAAGTCTCAGACTTTCTCATGTTATAGACCTGCACTGTCCAAGACGGTATCTACTGAGTGTGTCTCCTGAGCATTTGACATATGGCTAGCCCCAACTGAGATGAGCTGTAAGTGTAAAACACAAAAACACACATGGGATTCCAGTAGGGGAACTGTTCTGTGCCAGTGCCCTGCTGACCTTGAATGTATCCACATAGGCCAGTAGGCAAGGCTCCACCACAGCTGACCCAGGTCTTGCAAAATGCAATGTGGTCTTCTCGGAACATGGAAAGATAGGCAGTCCTTGTGAAAAGCTGCTACAATACCGTTTCTCACTCGCCTCCCTATCTTGAGGGAGGCTGCCATGAGGCAGTTTCTCATCCACCTCCCTCATTCTGGTGAAGAATGGGACTTTTTGCCTGCCCCTACCCCCAAAGGGTACAGCTGCAGGCCAGAAAACTGCTTAGCTGCAGGGTGGAATTGGTTACTCAGCAACAGGGTGCCCACCACTCATGTTGTGTGTCATCTGGACCGTTTTGTGTCAGTGTCATCCTGTGAGACAAGGGACACGGTTGCTGATACCACTGCTGATTCTGCCTTTACTGTCTATATCAGTAATACACTGTCTGAATCTATCTGGATTTCTTGCTGCTTTACTAGCCAAATCTGTCAGCCTACTTAACAATTTTGAAGACTTGAGGATGGTGCAGGACTGGGCAGTGTTTTGATCTGTTATACATAAGGTCTCCAGGAATCAGAGCCGACTCGATGGCAGCTAACAACAGCAACAATAGTACAAAAAATACATAGAACGTCTCACTAATAATTGTTTTATATTGATTACACATCAAAGTGATAATATTTTGGATATACTGGGTTAAATAAAATATTAAAATTAATTTTATCTGTTTACTTTTACTTTTTATGTGGCTGCTAGAAAACTTAAAATTATGTATGTGGCTCACACTATATTTTCTGTTGGTAAGAAAAGAAAAATTGATGATGAGGAAGAGCAACCGATAGAGTTTTATTTTGCCAGAAAATGGCATTTAAAAAATTATCACCATCAACTTAAAAGGACATTTTAACACCAAACAAATATATATAACCCTGTATAGCCCTAATCTCAGAATGGAGCCCTGGTGGCACAGTAGTTAAGAGCTCGCCTGCTAACCCAAAGGTTGGCAGGTCAAATCTACCAGCTGCTCCTTGGAAACCCTGTGGGGCAGTTCTACTCTGTCCTATAGAGTTGCTTGCTATGAATTGGAATTGACTTGATAGCAATGGTTTTTTGTTTTTAATCTCACAATAAAGGATACACCTCTAAATTGAATAAATGTAACTTGATGGAAAAATTCACTCCATTGTCCTGATTTTTCTCATATTGCTTCAGACTGGTGAAAAATCCTCAGATTGATAAGGATGGTATTTAGGAACTATTGCTATATACAACTCATCCTGTGAGGGGATAATTAGCTAATTTGTGTAGGGTCTTGAGAGGCAACCAATCCAGGTAACAGTGGCAGATGGGCCAAGTCCGGGGTGCCTTTTCTGTCCCTTAGGTATTGGCCTCATCTCGTGGCCTGTGTTTTGCACTGCTCTGTGGCTTGGCCCACCGTCTCTTCCCACTCTCAGATAAGGGAAGGATGTGGCATAGCAGATTCAAAGAGTATAACCAGAGGAATTGAAGTAAACAAATACAAATTTATTCTTTTCAAAGCAGAATTAAAGGGAAAGGGGGAAAGCACCACAGTGAGTGGCAAAGTTAACCAATTTGTTCCCAGCCCTTCCTCTTCATCCCAAACTTTTCTAGATTTGCATGCCACTCTTGCCACCTCCCCCAAGTCCCTTCCCCAACTCCTATCCTCATGACCATTTCTTGAAGCCAGCAAGCAGCACAGCAGGCTTCAGGCTGGCCTCAATTACTGCCCTGGATACAGCAAGGACATTCAGCAGGTCCCCTCCTGTGGGAGTTGCTGTGGGAGGAAGTGGGAGCTGGGAGTTGGGCCCTAACCTTGAGCCGTTCCCTCTCCCACAGCCATTGGTGTTAAAAGAGTAAAAAGTAGCTGAAATATCTTTTGTTTCCAGGGTTGAATTTTAGCAGGGAGGCCCAGAGATAAAGCTGCCCAGCTGAGGTGCTAAAGCTCCACAGCCCTAGAGCGGGGCCCCCAGTTTCTCTCCCAGGGCTGTTCCTCTTTAGGTATTTGCTTTTTCGTTATCCATCACCTATGCCAAGGGAAATTTGATGGGACTCTGGGCCTAAAATTGTACCAAAGGCCATGGCTCTGCCATTGAGAATTTGAGTTCAAGGACTGTTCTAGACTATAGCTATACATGGAGCACAAGCCCCAAGCACACACCCTAGCTGACAGGAATTCCTAAAAATGAATCTGGGTTGAAAATATCTCCCAGGATTGGCCTCTGCCTGGCCCTGGGGTTTCTTGTTACTGTGGCCTGCCAGCCCAGTTCCTGGAGCACCAGAAACTCAAAGAGGTTTCTCGGGAGGAGACTATTTCCAAACTTTGAGTCTTGAAGGAAATGGGCACTTGAGAGCCTAGATTCCAGCCTTCTCATTCTTGAGGGAAGGGCACATGTACTCCTGGGTAGGACCTTTCCTAGGGAACCATACCACAGACTGATGTCCTCCAGCCAGTCAGCGTTCCCTGACAATTGCCCAATCAACGTGATTCTACTCTGCTCCAGCTGGGAGGAGACCCACCTTCATAACGACTTTTTGGTCTCTATTGGATTCAGTCAAGAATAAATCGTCTATCAGTCCTAACTGTTCACTTATACTATTTGCCAACAACCCCAGCAAACACTCACATTCTTTATCACAGATGCTAATCTCACAAGTCAGAAGGTTTCCTTAGGCTACCCTACCCAGCAGCCCCCTTCATCACCCTTCCAGTACAGGGCAATAAACTACATAGCATCGCACACAATACCTCTAGGAGATATGATACACAACAGATGCGTAACAACTTACAACACATTTCAGTAAATCCATCTCTAATTTGGATTCACAGTGTCCAAGGATCCATTTACCTCACTGAGGGCAAACTTCCCACACATGCTGCAGTGACTGTCACCAGACCCTTGAGCAATATACTCACCTCAGGTGTTAAGGTAAATACAGGGTCACAAAGTTTCAGTGACCCCGCATTAGTGAAAATTCAACTCTTGAGTCTATAACCTGCTGCTTCGGTTCACCTATAGCACAAATCCTACGTAACGAAATCTACATCTTTTCTACCATGCCTGGCCCACTGCAGTTACCCCAGGCCCTCAGCAGCCCAAGATTTCTGGGATGGAGTAGGGGTTATGGAAAAGATTTTCCAGGGCTTTCCTAGTAAAAGATTGTTCCATAACATCTGCCCTTCTGAGGATTAGGCAGGCACATCCTTCAAAGTCCCTGAGCCCTCTGTCCTGAGCAAATGTCTCCTATCCCACTCCTGCCCACAATCTAGGCCTCTACAAATACACACCACCCTGACTGATGCCAAGGCTCTGTGTTTGATGCCTGCCTATCGCCTGTTGGCCATACAGATGCCCTGTCCTCCCACCCAGAGACCTCCTGAACTCTAAGGCAGATGTTGTGATATGAGGTCTGACTCCATGGACCTGTTGCTTAGTGCCAGCCTAGGAGGAGATAATTCTAGGCTTCGGGATCAAAGCTTCTGCCCTACCTCCCCTGCAGCAGACAAATCTAGGTTCCTAGCAGTTCTACCAACTGGCTCACTGCTTGATTATACACAACACCCTACCCATTTCACACACCCCTGACCTTGGTGGCAACCACTGCTTTCTCTAAGGCCCTGAGCCAGACCTCAGAAATTGGAAAAAGCTAAAGGATGT